GAAGTGACCACGATATTCATGTACAGGAAGGTTTTATTTATGTGGCATTGTGCCATGGTGATATATTATTGACATATAAAATCATTTCATCAAACTTGTCCATTAAATGAGAGACTTTACTTTTTGTAAGGGATAGGTGTCACCAACACATTTGTTGAAAAGATTTTTATTGAAGAAAAGTCACCAAGAATGTGTTAAGGACAGAAGGAAGCAGGCTATAGTTAGTTACAAAGCAATTTTCTGGCATTTTATTTAAGAAAGAAGGGCAATAGAATTTCAGAAAATATATGAAGCTTGGAGTATAGATATCTTTTAGGACTACACCTATGCTGAACCCTGTTAAAGTTGGTCATTCTCATTACCTAAGGTTTCCAATTAATCACTCTAGAAGTCTCCCTCACTCCACTAGCGAATAAGTGAGAAAATCATGTAGCCGAAGTTGTTTAGTTGAGGGCTCTTTTCCAAATGATATTTTAACTAGTTATAATGGAATGCTCATCTTCCAAGTTATTAACAAAGGAGATCATAAGTAGTCTAATCTGAGGTGAGGACAAATAATACAGGGAATATTTCATAATTCACTACAAAGAGATAGCACTCCCAATAGTCAAAGAAAAAGCTTTCATAAATTTCCAGAATTAAAAATATGTGATAGATTCCAGGCAAGAGGCTTCTTCAGACACAAAGCAGTTGCTCAACTTTTTCTAAAAAAGTACATTGCCTATGAAAAGCTGCACAAGAAGAAAAAAATCTTTGACTAGCATTTACTTGTGGTCTAAACCACTGGTGATTCAGAGAATAAATCTTTTGTTCTACTAACCCTCTAGCTGAAAATCCTGTTAAAATACCCACCAAGGGATTTAAAATTCAGCAACAAACTCATGAATCCCTTGTCAGTTAGTGGAAAGATTTATCCCCTAGGAATTCTAATGTAGGCCAACAGCAGAATAGAGAGGGGCGTTACAACACACCCAGCTATCCTCACAGGTGGAATCACAACCTGAAGATTTAAATCTCAGGTGGACTACAGAGATGATTTCAGAGGAAGGTAAGAGGCCACAGATTCTGGAATTCGCCGCCTGTCTCTCTCTGATCATTGCCCTTGCCGCTGTCATAACAGAGGCAGCCATTGCCCCTATTTTCATTGAAATGAATTTGCTCAAAGATACACAACTATAAAGATATAAAAATGCCAAGTATACACCACCATTTTTATGTGCCACTATGACCACCTTCTTTTGTTTAATCATACCATTTGCTCTGTAGCGGCTTGATTCATGCTAATATAAACTTCACATGAAGCTATAATCTTCTCTCTCAACTGAACAAAAAATTAATAGATTTATTAGCCACTTACAAATGTATTTTTTAGTAATTAAGCTGTCAGAAAAGTCAGATTTTTGAGGTGTAGAGAATGCATATTGTCAACTCAGTTACTTGTCTTTTAAATCAAGTTGTACCAACTTAACTATACATATTAATTCTACTCTATCAGCCATTTTATCAAATTTTTTAATTTTTATTTAATACAGCTCGATATTACATTTTTTATCACTAAGACAGTACAATTTCTCATGCTGTTTTCCAATTATGTTTCCTCTTTTCAATTTCAGCCCATGTCAATTGTCTACTTATCTTTTGTAGTCTTGATATTTTTCTCATAACTTTGTGTGTACCCTTAATATTTTATAGATATTAAATTGTCATATCTGATATAAATATTTTGTGGTACATTTTATGTTTTTATTGTTTTCCATTATAAAGATATTTTAAAATTTTATATATTAACATTTTCATTTTTATTATTACTTAGAAGTTGAAAAACGTATTCCTCCATAGATAAGATAAAGAAACAATTATATTTTTTGCCATTTCTCTAATTGATGTTTTGTACTTAACCCTCTAATTTGATATTTCTATGTTTCATTCTTCTTCAACACATGAGCAGAACCACACAAATTACTACTCTCAATCTGGCTATAGAGTGACCTCCTTTTCTTTTACCCGGCACAGAATGCAGCATGATTCTGCAAAGAATACATGCAATCCACACCTCAACACCCATCCCTTCAACCCCAACACCATGACAATCACTACCATGACTCAAATGGAGTACATTTTGGTAACAAGTATAAAGTGTTTTCTAATATTTCAAAATCCTAACCAATCACTTCAACATGACATTTAATAATTTTCCTTTCACTACCCATTTAAAAATTATTTTAATTTTAAAGACTATTATTTTAGAGAAGTTGTAGGATCACAGAAAAATCAAGAATTTCCAATAAACTCCCTTCTACTCTTACATATATACCCTCCCCCATTCTCGACATTCCCAATAGAATAGAATGTTTGTTACAATTGATTTACCTTGACTCTTCTATGGGACTACATTAGAACTCCTAGCGAGGAAATTTTTTTTATTAACCGACAAAGGATTCATGAATTTGTTGTTGAATTTTAAAGCCCTTGCTTTATTTTAGGTTTTAATGTCTGATAGGTATAGATCTCCCTGCTACCTGTTCATTTTTTTCATCTTTCAAATGATTAGAAGTTTTTACTGAATTTTTAAAACTTCTTTTGAGGTTTCAATGAAAATACCATAAAATATACTTTTTTATAACTTGGAGAGCTTATAATTAATATGGTAAATTGAGTTACTATGAAAAATTGTTATGACTTACATTTAGAAAAGCTGGACAAATATAATAATACAAGATCTGTCAAGAAAAACCCCAACCACTGTTAATATAATAAAAACAGTTGTGCAATGTTGATGTAACCTGGCAGCCAAGGAGAGTGGATTGGAATGAGTATGTGTGAACAAGGATGACTTCACTGTACTAGTCAGTGGGGATGGTAGACACATTTGAGTGAGCATGTGTACTGTGTAGCCATCACATTCAAAATGACTGAGTGAGTAGAGGAAAGGCTTTGCATCCAATTTTTTGTTAAGCTTGAACATTCCATCGCGGAAACAATTGGATGACCCAGAAGGCCGCAGCTATGGGCAACTAGTGATTAGCAGCTTCATTGTGACAACATGCCTGCTCTGCATCACATCTTGTGCAGTTTTTTGGTGAAACATCAAATCTCCCACATGACTCAGCTCCCCTACAGCCCAGATTTGGCACCCTGAGACTTATGGCTTTTCCCAAAACTAAAATGTCCTTTGAAAGGGAAAAGATTTCAAACCATCAGTGAGATTCAGGAAAGTACAACAGGGGAGCTGATGGCGACTGGGAGAACTGTGTGAGGTCCCAAGGTACCTACTTTGAAAGGGACTGAGACATCATTGTCCTATGTACAATGTTTCTTGTATCTTGTATCTTCTTCAATAAATGACTCTATTTTTCATAATACATGGCCAGATGCTTTCTGTACAGACCTCATAAAACTAAAATATTTAAATGTTTAGCCAGATCCAAACCAGAAAATGGAGAGCAAATAGGTAAAAAAATTTGTAAAAATAAATCTGATTGAAGATATAAAAAATTTAGATAGTATTATAGGGAAAATCATAGTGCCTTATAGAAAAATATCAAAAAATGGAGAAATTTATAAATACTTATTTTCAAGTAATTACATTTAATTATCATTTTTCTACATTTATCAATCTCTTTGTGTTTTAATTAATGGGCTCTATTTTTTAGAGCAGTTCTAAGTTTACAGGGAGTTCTCATTTAATCCTTCTCTCCCCTTCCTTATCCCTCTTTCCACTCTTATTAAATTTTTGTATTAGTGTGCTACATTTTCATGAGTAATGAACCAATATTAGTATGACAGTATTAACTAAAGTCCATAGTTTACATTAGCATTCACTCTTTGTGTTATACAGTTCTAGATTTTGACAAATGCGTAATGTTAGGTGTCCACCATTACAGTATTATACAGAGTAGTTCACTCCTTACAAAATCCTCTGTGCTTCACCTATTCATCTCATCCCCCTTCTTTCTCCTTGAACTCCTGGTAATTTTATTGTCTCTATAATTGTCTTTTCAAGAATGTGATGTAGTTGAAATCATACAGTACGTAGCTGTTTTAGATTGGTTTCTTTCACTGTGCACTATGTATTTAAGATTCCTCCATGCTTTTTGATGGCTTGATAAATCATTCTCTTTCATTGTTGAATAATATCCCACTGTGTTGCTATACCAAAGTTTGTTTATCCATTCACTTATTAAATGACAATTGACTAGTTGCTTCTAATTTTTGGATGATATCACATTCCTTCCTTCTGTCCTTCAGTGCAAATTACATTAGTAAATAGAAAAGGTAACAGTGGGCAACATTATAATTTGGTCTTGAATTTAAAAGGAAGGGCTATACATACTTCATTCAAATACAAATGTTAGCTTTGGGCTTATATATGTCAATCATTCTTCTCCACATTTTTCCAGATTCTTAAAACTGTATATGGTTTAAAAATATATATGTTGTAAAACATCAAAGAAGGGAGATTCTTTCAGGAATCAGCATTTTTTCTCTTTATTCAAATCTTATTTTCAATGTGTAAATAAAGTTTTGTAATGTAAAGTTGTTTTTCTGCACCATTGTACATATTTTTAAGAAAATTTTAAATGCTCATCATTTTAAGGTGATATATAAGTAACCAATTAATCTTTTCCATCATGACTTTGAAAAATATCTAGTTTGCATTGTTAGTTGAACTCAATTGTTTTTGTGTGTGTGTGTATATACGTAGATACATATGTATCTCTGTATACATTATACATAAATTCATACGAAATTTTTCTAGTTACTTTCTCAAGTATTTCAATTAATTCATGCTCTTTTTTCCTTTTAATTCTTGCACTATGGTATTTTTTCAGGTTAGAAACCTAAGAGCACATTTACCGCATAGAATATATACTTTTGAAAGCTTCCAGTTTCTGAAATGAGCTATGTAATGTATCTTTTACTTTGTTCAATGTATTGTTATTTTTTTATGTACAGTATACTTTTATTCTGGCATGGATTCTCTTTTTTTTTTCCTTTGGGTCTGTTGCGCCCCTCCAGGAAAGAATGACCACTGATAGGCCAACCTGAGGTCCTGAGGAGATCCTTTCTCTCTCTCCCCATTACGAAAGTCACACATGGCATGGATTCTTTCATGCAGATACTTTCTTCTATACCTGCATTTCCAGTGTTTTATCACATGAGACTCCAGTATTTAAAAGGTTTTAGGATTTAGTGGTTATACAAGCAAACAGTTGCAGAGTAATAAGTGAATAAATGAAAGGACACAAAATCAGTTTTCCTGAAGAATGTGGTATTCAGCTAATTATCAGTTCCCATTGTTTCCCGTGCTAGCACTGATTTCTAGGACCCTTTATCATTAAAACACTCCTGTCTAAATAAATTGAACTGATACTAATTATGATTTAGATGAAATTAGTAAAACTTTCTACTAGTTTACACATGTTATATTATATGGAATATTCTGCCATCAAATTTAACTCTATATTAACATACTTCTCATTGGCCTGAAATCATAGGAACTCTTACCTCCACATGGTTAAGTGAAATGTATTATGCGATTTCCTGTGTTTCCACAGTCCTAGGACCTAGCAGATCAGATGCTGGAAAAAGCAGTCTTAGTTTCAAGGTTGTCATCTGCTGTGCACAGAGACTGGCAGTCCCAATTCCATCACCCAGAGGCCACACTGATTCTGAAATTTCAAATGCATTCAGAGTGGCTGTGCCTCTCCTGGTTGTTGAAAATAGTCATTGACAGTCAGATAGATGATCACTTTTTAAGCATTTTTTTTCTTTATTCTTTACTTTCTGTATAACTGTCATTGCTCAAAGGAACTAGGAAAACAAAAAGGATGAAGCCAGAGAATGACAATTAGTAACAAGAATGGGGGCTGAGCAATCAGAGCATGACTTTACATGCTGTTGGAAAGGTTATAATGCACTTATGTACCAGGATTATTTTCTGCATATAACAAATAAATTGCATGTCATTGAGTAGAGGTTTCATCTGTTTTATTATTTTTCTCTCCAGCTGCTACATGAACTCATTTCATGTTCATCATAGAACTTAGAGACACTTTCATGTGTCAGGAATAGTACTGGGAATGGAAGAGGGGTAAAGATTCAGAGACAAAAGAAAGAAAGTGGAAATCACACTCAGGATTCAGAGAATTCTGATAGTGCAAACCAATATAGAGGAGGGTGTGGAGGGGGCTGGGAAATTAAGCGTTGGAACCCAATCTGAGACGAAACTTCCTCCTGTGCCTAAACGCCTTGTGTAGACAGGATGGAAGTGGCTCGTTTGAGTGAGGAAAGTAAAGCAGAGAATGATGTGCAGAATTTTGGTTGGTGTCCACAGGCTCTAGAATGGTATCATGGCTGTGATATAAAATGTATTATGATACTGTTTCAATTGGATTAAGGAGTCTAGAGTGAGTTCAGCATTCCCTGTAGCCTGCTGTGTTTGTCTATAACACAGGCCTAGGAGTTGTGAAATTTCAAGTGCTAGAGATGTCATGTTGGATATGAGCATCAAAAGTTTTTGTGGTTTACGTTGGTGTGGAATGGATGGACACATCCCTTTGGGGTGGCAGTGACAAAACTATAGCAATGAAGGAAGAAGCCCTCCCAAACATGTGTCTTCTAAGCTCATCTCTATGTATCTCTGATCTCAGTCACACGCTGGTACTCATGGACCCTAGGGCTGAATGTCTGTGAGAAGACCTCCCTGGGGTGAGACTGCCTTACTTGTTCCTAAATAATAAAGCCTAGACAAAAGGACACCAACCTGGTGACTTCAGGGGACCATCAAATACCCAGTGGAGAACACTCAAGCATGGGCAATACTTTCTTGGCATCATGTGAACTTCTTCACTGAACCAAACATGGCCTAGAAATTCCATTTCTTGGCATTTAAGTTTAATTTTTTAAAATTGGTTCCCTGGTGGAGTTTTGTTGTGGTTTTTTTTGAATCACAGTTGCTACAGAAATACTCAAACCAGAGATCCACATGAGGATATATTTACCAATTAATCCCAGCAGGAGATCTGCAGTGTAAGCTCTCATAGATGTATGCCTTGAACATGGTGAGCATCCAGGTAGACATACTAATGGCCCTCCTTCTATCACAGGCTATGCTTAGTTGGTGTAACTACCCTGAAAACTACAGAAATAGCTCCAGGTTGGGGAACTGTGGGATTGCAGGATGAGCCCTAGACTAGACTAGTTCTCTACTAGCAGATTGAGTGGATATTCCTATCTCTTGAGCAATGCAACCTGTCTCACCACAAATTGCATATGGGTGCCCTCCATGTATTTGCCATCGCCTGCAATGGGCCTACTTCATAGGTACCAACATGGGGAAGAAACAGGTACATTCGTGGGATTTTTTTTTTCTCTTTCTTTGGACAGGGATGTGCCATATCTTCATGTTCATGCAACCAAATCACACATTTCTGTCCTTCACAGGGGATGGGATCAAGTCCCTAGCTTCTCAGATGCCTGATAGTTCAGAAAACTCAGAGGCTAACAATAATACCAGTAAGATAATACTGTAAGATAATAAAAATAATAATGTTATTGAGAGTTTACTATGTTCCAAGCGCTGTGCCAGGAGTTTTACACATATCTTTCTTATTCTCACAAAAATGCCATGGAGTACTATTATACTTTGGGGAACATGAGATGTAGAGAGGTAAAGTAAGTTTCCTGATGTGACATGGCTAGTATGTAGTAGAAAGGAATTGAGATTTAGTTCTGTCAGATACCAAAGCCCATACTCATAAACATGCTCAGAAAATACACACACACTCACTTTACATATACATATGTATGTGTACATGAATACATATAACATACACAAGAAAGATTATTCTCTGATTTTGCAAAGCTCTCTAGTTGTCTACTAAATACCCATTCTTCCCTTCTCCCTTACTATGTCAATTATTATCATAGTAATATGTCAATTATTCCAAATAAAAATCTTGATTTCCCAGCCATTCTTGCCACTATAGGTTTTCCTGTGACCCAGTTCTGGCCAATGAGACCTAATTGGGAATGTAATCAAATTTTCTGATGAGTTTTTCCCTCTCCTAATATTGATGCTGCATCTTCCTCTTTCTTGTTCCCATTCTCTTTTAAGCTAAGCTATGGACTTGATGCTTGGAGATGCAGAAGCCATCTAAAGGCAATGAGAGGGCATCCACATCTTTAGGAGGCTAGAGAGGAAGACGGAAGCAACAAGAGTCCTTGATGGCACCAGAGTCCTACTGAATGATTTCTGGACTTTGTGTGGGGAAAAAGAAATCCCTTATTTGATTAAGCCATTCTTTGAGAGATTTTCTTCTGCCTTCAGCAGAGTACATTCCTAACTGGTATAAATATTACTGAACACTTATTTTAGCCCTCAGACCTCAAATTTTGTGACTTAAAAACTCTTTTTCCCTAAGACTTAGTGTAACAGGGTCTTCCTTGATAGTAGACACCCCTAGGCTGAGACAGTAACCCTCCTAAGCATCAAAATGTTTGCATATGCCTCTCATCATGGTGAAAACATCCACATAATTATACACCAGAAAATACCATGTCCCAAGCACATAACAGCTTTGGTGCTGCAACCTAATTAGTTAAACTAAATTACTGGAGGGACAGACAGTGTGATAGCTCCTGCTACTCTCCAGCCAATTTGTACATTTTCCAAGAATTTCTGTAGATATTATTATCACCCACACACCTGCTGCTATGTAGACAGGAGAACAAGCCAAAAACAGTGAAGAAGCAAAACTTAATATTTTTTTAAAAAATGGGTACAGTCCCAAAGTACAGGATAAAATCAAGCCTTTAAATAAGAGGGCCAGTGTGGCTGGTTACTAACCAGATTCTAAGCTAATAGAAATGTCCAAATTCATGTAAGGAAAAAAAATTTCAAGTAATTTCTTTGTGTCCTCTTTTTTCGCTTATATTTTCTGCACAATGGAAAGAACATTTCAAAGGATTATTTCTTTTCCTCTTATTTCAACTAACTCAGATGTGACTTAACATACATCAACATTTTTGCCCAAAACTTATTTTAAACTTCTTTACTCTAAACCACACAGACAAAAAGTAGTAGGTAGTAGAGAAGAAATGTTGATATTAAATATAACCTTTGGGATGTGAACATTGAAAATTCATTTTTTAAATCTCTTCCTACCAACTATTATGGATATTTCCATAGTAAGAAACACAAAAACATGTTCATGTAAGAGAAAGACTCAGACATCAAACCCTCTAGAAAAGAGATTTATTTATTTAAAAAAAAATTGGCAAAACTGAGACTTCAGAAAGATTAGCTTGTCAAATAAAAAATACAACATAAATTTAAAAGGAAAAAACTGAAAATAACTAAGGTTACATAGTTGCATTAACCTATTCATAATAACAAACAATTTTCTCAGAATGCTCAAAGGAAATGCTCAGTTTCATTTGTTTTAAAGACCAGAACTAGACAGGGTGACCTTGTTATTTTTGGTTTATCTTATTCTGAGACATCAGGTATATCTTGATTTTTAATGGCGGGAGAACAAATTGTTAACTTTTGCTTCCACATTGGCCACAATTGACATAGCTAGGATGGCCCTAGACAGTAGTTTTGTCACCTGGGTAACCTGCAGGATAATGAAAATACCTTATGTCTGACTCGGAATCTATGTCATTGATAAAATACTTATTACTATACATGTTTCATGGAAGGAAATGTTATAGGGAAGGCATTTTAATGAGCTCAGACACTTATTTATTTATTCCACATATGTGAGAATCCTACAGTATTTCTCTTTTTCTAAGTTATTTTACTTAGCATAATGCCCTCAAGCATCATCCTTGTTACAGATGTCAGGATTTCATTCTTTCTGTGTCCAAGTGTATGAATGATTTGTGGAGAAATAAAATCAGAAAATATATCTATTATAACTTAATAATCATCTCAAAACATACAGAAAATACATTTAATAAAATATAACACTCAATTGTCATATTTAGCAAACATGATTAAATTAAAATTCTGCTTCAAACAACCTACTGAATGATAAAATTTTACAACCATTTTCATTAAGCTGGCATTCGTAAGAGGATATCA